TGTCTGCTAATGGGTCGCTTGGAATCAATTGGAATCGTGCACGGCTGAGCAGAGCGGTTTTAATAACCTCGCGGTGGCGCTGTGGTGGCGTTGACAGTGACTGGCAGCCCCGAACACGCCCACATGTGAAATAAACTTGAAGGAGCCGATAAGCGCGCGAATACTTATCATTCTTCAATCTGCATATTTCACGCGAGTTGGATGCGTCTGCTGAATGCTTCAAACGACTACGTCAAGTTTTCGCAGCCGTGACTAGCGCAAGAGCAAAAATGCGGCTCTCGCTGATACATCTTGATAATCATAAAGCCTTTATTTGTGCCAAGAAACAAACAATATTGGTTTGCAATGTGGCACAGTCAAAACGTTATGCAGCTGTAAAAAGTGCTCAGCTATGCTTATTTAAAAATGCAAATAACAATAAAACTAGCACGCAACAAAACACGACAGTGCATTGCTAACGACGGAAAATAATTTCACCTAATTGCCTTTTGAGATTCACGTAGCTCTAAAAAAAAAAAAAAAAGTCAAGATTTGCATGCCTAAGATTGTTTACCCATATCTGCAATCCTGTTGTTGGTGATACCATGTGTTGACTGTGGGGTTATAAAGTCAGAGCTCCCTCATTTGAGCTTTTATGTACTTACAGTGATTCACTGTGCATAAAAGTGTCGAGTCAATGCCCCGTGAGCTATTCTATATAAAAAGGCAATATCACGCGATAATCTTCCGAGGGATAGACACTGCAGTGGGCCAAATGTATCCAAGCGGGAGATCATAGCTGTAAAAATGCCTTCGGCCAAGGAATTTGTCATAGATTGTACGTACTATACTTCGTTTCCGCTTCGGTCCGAGCGCGGCCGATGTTATGAGCCGAAGGGCCAATCAAACAGCGTAAAGAGCGCAACGTCATGGCGTGCTCTCTGCAGTTGATAGGACCAGCGTGCTCTCTGTGCGTGCTCCTTCGCCGGCTAGTCCTATCAAGCGCAGAGCGCGCGCCATGACGTTGCGCTCTTTACGCTGTTTGATTGGCCCTTTTGCTCGTAACATCTGCCGCGCTCGGACGGAAGCTGAAACGAAGTATAGGCGTCTTTGAACTGACTCTATTTTGACTGCATCATGTACAGTAAGCGTATTCCACACCACCAAGCCAAAATCTAGTCTAGATCTGATAATAGAACAGAAAAAAACACGAAGGAAACAAGCATAGTCTGCAGGATTTCTTGTGAATCGAGTAATCATTTCAGAACTAAAAACGTACACTCGAGCGCCGGCTCAGTAAAAATGTGTAATGTGGTAACGTGAATTTTTGTGTTTTGGACGGCAGGTTCTTTAGCAAGTTATCTGGTTACTATTCTTAACACCACAGCCGTGTTATCATAGCCGTAAATCGGTTGCACCATCTTCTTTTTTGAGATAATCAAACGAACTGAGTGATTTGCCAGTGTGGGTTTTACAAAATTTCTAACAATTCTGCATAACATTTGTATATGTTTTCCACGATGAAACAGCAATAAAGTTAACAACTCTGTAGCCGAAAGGCAAGCTTAATCTACACGGACCATAGCAACCGCGTGCAAAATGAAAGAACCCTACCGAGGCTCATGGCAAGGGGTTTCAAGTGCAGCTGCGTAGGCCAAAAACAAGGAACATTGTATTGATAACTCGCTCTGAAAGAATAAAACACACATTTAGAACGGACGACAAATCTTTCATTGATGTACTTTATTGTCTTTGAATCTTTCGGTCTTTTCATGTATTACGATCGAATCCGGAATATAAAAACAGCTGATTCCTTCAGTTTGCTTTGACTACCGTGCACGTGGGTTGTGACTGAACATGATGACTTTTCATATATTGTGCGCAAGGGTTTCACGTTGGGTTTCCACGTGCCATCACTCTGAGCAAAGGCTGAGCACTTCGGCCGGTGTTGGACCTGGTCCAGAACCATAGGAGCGGTGTTAACCGGTCCTTCGGTGGCCTTGGAAGCTCAAGTTTTATGCACAAAAAAAAAAAAAGAAAAAAAAAAGATGCTGGAATAAAAACGTTTAACGCGCGTATCTGACATATGGGCCAAAGTACTTCAATCACGACATCACCGTGATTTTATACATTCTTGAAAGAATGCATGAATGCTTAGATCAAAATTAACAGTTAACAGAATTTGAGAACTAATCCAACAGGTCAGAATAGGGCACACTACTAAGTATCAGGACGTCACAGACGACAGCCTTTCTTCCAGTTCGGGCGATTATATACTAAAGAAGTAATCTTAATTTTTTTTTAAGTTACGGCTGTCGATGTTGGTTAAACACTAATTGATTTTTACGGATGACGGATTAGTGCTTTGGAAAGTTGACAAGTTAACGTTTGGTTCTCCATAAGCTTTGCGCCAATTTTCAGTAATATACATAAATTCCCGAACATCTTAAAAATATATATTTTCTCCCCTTGACCCGTAAAGGCGGATAAATACACTGGATTGTAGAATACGTACATCTATACGCTGTTTGAGAGCGAGCATGAGACAGCGGCGTCGGTAGCTCTGTGGTTAGTGCGCTGCTGAATATCCTGCCCCAATTGAATTGGTGTATACGTTTGCACCGATTCCGACGGACTTCGTCGGTTGACCTTCCCCGCCAAACTTAGCGGGAAACTGCCCCACCAAACTTGGAGAGAAAGATGACAGGTCACGTCAGGTAACGCCGAAACTTCACAAGTCCGATCCTCAAATGTATGCATCTTACGTAAAACGCGACAACATAAAACTGCAATATGACGCTTGCTCGTAAAGAAGGAAGAAAAGAACAGGAGTACGCGCACTTTTGTGGCTAGATTATAAATACACCCAGAGAAGGACCCCCTGCGGACTGGTAGGGTATTATCGTACACACCGCACGCCTCGATGAGCGGACGCGAACAAAAGAGACTAAATTTAAACGCGGGTGGCTGTCGACAATGCGACCGAAAAATAACGGAGTCGAACAACGTTCGCGCTTGACTCGCGCGTACATGCCAGCCATTCCGAGTTTATGAAATACTAAGTCATTAAAAACAACAACAACAAGGCCGCAGGGTTGAATTGTTTACGTCACCGATAAGAGGCCAACACGGGGCGTAGGTCGGCCACAAGTGCAGCGTCAGCTTTCGGCGAGTAGCAGTGTCCTCGCTAATTGGACACGAGTCCCGGCCGAGGGCTGACGCAACGCTCGCGTCCAATCAGAGCTCGCGGCGCTGGCCTCCGGCAGGTGGCGTGGAAAATCTGTAGCACCACGACTTTGTTATCGGACATTTGTCGGAACCTGGTGCAGCCATAAACCACGCTTCTTTATTTAAGGTTGTCTTCGTAAGTTCGTGTGAGTTGTAGGCAACATTTATATAAAGCGGAATGTTGCACAAAGATAAAGCAATCTTAAACTGCGCAAGTGCGCGTCCTGGCAGGCATGCAAGAAATTAGACGGAAACTGGGGCTCGGTTTTGACCGAGAATCTTCACCGATGAAGCGTAACCACTGAACGGAATGCCAGACGTACTATTGTGTTTTCTTAATATTCCTAAATGTCACGTGCTTTTTTTTTTTGTGGCGTGATTCATATCATTTTTTTAATGTCTTACGATATGTAAGACGTCTAACACAGATATTTGGAATTAGAAGTAAGTATTGACATACAAACGCACCTGGTATTGGATCATAAGCTTGCTTGTTTATCTTGTCTTCCTTAGAACGTCAATGGGTAATTCAGGTGTATTATTGATTCGAGGCCTCATTTTATCCAGATAATAAAATAAAAATAAAAGAGAAATGAGAAAGCTGTCTCTGTTCGCGACGTTATTTTTTCCAACAAGTACGCGTCACCGATGACGCATAGCGTTTGACTCAGCATGTCCGGGGGGTCCGCGGGCCTTCCGAAAAAGGCAACGGGCGGGAACTTCGAAAACAAAATGAAAGCTCCCAGACTAGCGTCAACCTCCCACAGTATAAAAAAAAACAACAACGCCGTGGTTGACTTTTCGGCTCCCAGTCTTCCAAAAACCCAAACTCCCAAAGTTCCCTCGGCGCTGCTGATTGGCCCGAGACCCTCCTTCGAAATAACCCTTGGCAGGAGCCCCACTTTTCTTATTGCAACCTGTTGGAACGGAGGCGCCGCCAGTGGTCTCGGCTTGCGTCTCCCGCTACCGACCACCTGCTATTTCGAGTCTTCGAGGCACCCCTTCTCTTGGTATTTAAAAGGGAGATGAACCTAGAGCCTTCTGCACAGACACTTGTTGATTCGGACGAACCGGACCGCCATCTTCGTGCCTCCCGGCTGACTCAACTTCGCCGTTGTTGCACTGTAAGCATCTGTCTGGTCGTACATAGTTTATGCGAGCGTTTCTAAAGAGAGGCGTACCTCAGGTACGTTTAGGGTACATTTCGTTGCTCGCAATGTATGTTAGGAAGATTGCGAAATGATATTGTGAGGTTGTCGCGAATGTAAGATGCGATTTGCAGAGGTTTACAGTCTAGTCGGAGAATAAAACCCGAAGACGCCTCGCGCTTGGTGGAATCCTAGCAATTACGTTTAATGTACGAGCTGCTTTCCACCAACGATCCTCAGTGGACGAGACAATTCAAACGTAAAGTTACCATGAAGGAGAAACTAACTTTGTGTCGTTATTGCTTGCGTTCTCAGAGAGTAACTAAGAACGTTAGCCCTTAGCGAGTCTAAAGAAAAAGGTTGCTTTGTAGTCACTTCGCTGTATTCTTATAGCGAGTACAGCAAGCTACCGGTGGATATTTGCAGGCCGTGTGGGTATTTTATGCTTCGGCATTTATGTATATAAAGCTGCGTATGCATAGCATCAAACGATTCGTAATTAGAACACTTTGAAGAAGTTTTTTTTTTTTTAATTTCTTTTTAAATATATTTGTTGCTGTCAGGCAGTGAGGCCCGCCACAGTTATGGCAGTCTATTAAAGCTCGCTTAAATGTTTTCATTCTGTACTCGCCAAAACGTTAAGAAATGAAATGGCTCTGCATTTTTTGTTATCTCGGTAACAATAGAAACAGGAACAACAATAAAAACACCGATGCCGTTATTTCGTTGCCGAGGTAAGCAGCTGTTAAGACTTACTTGCGGCGCTAGACCATAGTAGACCGGTGGTATCTACCGAAAGAGCCAACCCAACGCCGATTTCGCGAAACGTGACTTTAAAATTTCCGTAAAGCGTTCTGGCAGCCACAAGTACAGGCACCAGGTCACGCGAAGTATTTGGCAGGACTAGCAACGTGCGTGATGGGGTTTAGAGAATTTGTCACTGCCGTATACATTTTTAAAGCCTAAAGCCACGGGCACAGTCCTTATACATCGTACAAAAGATAGTCTGGGGTTATTTAATTCATAATCATGTTTCAGCTCTATGTAATGCCTCTCTTAGGTATCTTGGGGGGATATTTCGTTTTACGAGGCAATTTTCTTCTCCTGATTGCCTTGTGTTTGTTTTGCTGCTTAGTGCGTACAAAGCTGGAGTTTGCTTCAATTGTTTGGAATTGTATCAACCACACTGCATCATGCTCTACTGAGCATGTTCAAAGACGCTTCATAGGCATAATCTATGGCAGGCATTTTGGGCGCAAGTGTTAATACAACTATAATGCATTACTTAAGAAACTAGGGTTGCGCACTTTGCTCGATAGAAGGTGTTTACATGATTTCATGTTTTTCTATAAGGTTGTGAACGGAAGTGTTGATTCATCGCTTTTGTTAAGTACTGTTTGTTTTCATGTTCCCTTGCGGTCAAGTCGGTTTCAGAGCCCGTTCTAACCCCTGACTTTATATGATACGTCTCCGTTAACAAGAATGCAGCTGGAATAACAGGCTTGACCAATCTGCTATAGACATTTTTAGTGACGTGACAACTTTTTGACGTACACTGGAGTCAATCATTTGTGTATAATGTCGAATCTATGTGGCTTTCTGCATTTAATTTCCAATGATGAACTGTGTAACACTATTTAGGCTATGTGCTGTTTGTGGACACAACAAAATAAAGATTATTATTATTCGGAGACGTGCTTCCTCTTTGTATAACCGTCCGGCACGTTGATCACACAGACTGTCTGCAGATTATTTCGAAGTGTATATATATATATATATATATATATATATATATATATATATATATGGAGAGAGAGAGAGAGAGAGAGAGAGAGAGAGAGAAAGAGAGAGAGAGAAACGAAGCGCAGGATGACGAAAAGTATATACGGAAAAAAACGCACCTGCGACGGTTGTTGGAGTTTTTAAAACATATTATTGGTAAAGTTGGTCGACGTTTCGGCCCTTGAAAAAGGTCTGTCTTGGGCCGAAACGTCGACCAACTTTACCAATACTATGTTTTAAAAACTCCAACAACCGTCTCAGGTGCGTTTTTTTCCGTATATATATACCGTACTTACCGTGCTTTTTACGCACGCCGTCGGAATTGTCGCGGGCAATTCATAGTCCTGGTCGTGACATCACAGGTAGGGATTGTAAGAGGGAGTCAAAGAAACATCTCGATGCCAATATTAGCGAATCTAGCGAAATCGACGGTACCTAAGGCTAGAAAATGATGCCGTGGCAGCGGCAGGGGGCAGGTTTCGCTCGTCAGCCTTCTCGGGCGAATCCTGGTGGTTTAAAAGCGCCTGGTGGTTTAAAAGCGAAGCCGTGAAAGCAGGTTCCGAAACACGCGATGGAAATCGCTGCAGTATGGGGCGTTGTTGAACATACGTGCAAAGCGCCAACTGTTCTAAGGTTTCTCCTTAGATTACTTACGGCTGCAGATATCGGCACGTGCAGGACGCGAAAATTCACCCCATCACGCTCCTTGGAGACTATGTAATTTAGCAGAAGGTCATTTTTTTGCATGTTTTTACAGACACGTGGCGTCAAAACAAAAACGCGCTCAATAAAAAAATTGCCTAAAGGTTCTAATGTTTCTGCATCGGAGACTCATGACGCTTTGACAAGTAGCGTACGACAGAACCCGCGACCAGGACCGCTTGCTTGACAGGGGGTCCCGTCTTCCTGAAGATGACTCGATGTCTGGATTCTCTACTCCGGTCAAGGCCACTGGCTGAGCCCTACCCCGAGACGCGTGCACTGCTTTTGCGCTCTGTTGCTCTTTGCGTTCAGGCGTGTGGCTCCGTGTAGGGGGGGGGGGGGGGGGGGCTTGCTCGTTCCCACGACTCGTGTTGGCGCTGCATGCTGCTTATCACTCAGGAATTCGCGTTCGTGAGAACCGGAAATGCACGATCTTTGTAGAAGGGATGAGGGGGTAGGTGTCCACCGGGCAATTTCGCACGTGTTCCGTGTCTACAAAACGGATGACGTAAGTATGGCTTTTGTCGACTGCGCTGTCAAGGTTAACATTGGATTCGGTGGCTGTATAATCTGAAGACTCATCAGAATGACGCCCTGATCTGATCCTGGGAGGAGCAGAAAAACACCAATCCTCATAATTTGGCGGGGGGTATGTTGTCCACAGAGATTGGTGCGCGCATTTTTATTATCGTGCCGTACGAAGACACAACGAGATTTACGGCAAAAGTGACGTTTTTATGTATTTGCGCACGTGAAACACGTATTGATAGATGAAATGGGAATAACTAGTCTGGTGGGACGGAATTCATCAATAGGTGTTCGCCATTTTCTGTTGACAGTACATGGTCCTTCGGGAGAAATATGTAGATATGATTTCATGCACGCTGCCAGCCGGAAAATGGAGCCTACTTAAGGATATGCGACGAAAAAAGTTAAACGAGCCGACAGTCATTTTGTATCTTAAAATAAGTGCACGTTATCTCGCTTTTGGGCACTTCTGTTGTTTTTTCTATGTTACCTTTCAACGCTTGTTTGCGCTGGAGTGTGGCCGATCTTATACAACTGTAAAATGGTTCTAGAAATACCGATTCATTACCGCCGAACTGTGTTACAAAAAAAAAAATTCATGATAACAACTCAGGACGCTATTAGGTGGGTGAAAATCCCAGCGTTAAACACCCCGGCAAAGCTAGACAGAATTGTTTAGAGTTGTCTCGCCAGTTTCAGACCTAAAACCCCAGATGCTTACACATGATACAAAAGACAGAAATCGTAGTGAAAGATCTTGTAACTATAATAAATTTCTGACTCCATTAATCACATATGATCAAACAAGATCATATGAAAGCATACGAGATCCTCGTAAGAACAATATAAGGTCACTTAAGAATTTATGATCATCTGACAAGAAGTACCTTCTCTTTGTCTGTGTGGTTTTCGCGTTGTTTTTCAATAAGGATTATTACCAAATAGCCCAACTCTCCATTCTTGTAAGAAGTTTCTCATCAGTTCTTAAATAATCTTATATTGTTCTTATATGCTGTTATAATGTTCTTGTACGCTCTTATATAATCTTATTTGATCATATGCGTTTTTTGGGGCCAAGATATGTCTAAAACAAATATAAGTTGTTCTTTTCGCCAGGGCAGTGTGTTCGTTGAAGACGTTATGACAATATTATCTGAGGGCATACATCGGGCGTGTCACAAGCACATACGTGTGCTTCGAACATGTCCGCTGAGAGTGTTTGTCTGACCAGTGTAACGGGACGTCCAAACAAGTAAGAAACACGCCCCTCAGACTTTGTCCGCGAACTGTTTTTTTTTTTTGTACGATATATTTCGCAGTGTGAGCGCGGCTTCATGGCATCATGACGCCGTAAAACAGCTTGAGACGGCCACAAAACAAATGCTCAAAACAAAGGCAGCCAAAAAAACGCAATTTGCATGGGCGTGCCATCTGCACGTGTGCGGCGTGTCCTCAGGTTTCCTACACGCTCCTTGCTTCTCCGTTCTTACTCTTTGCGTTCCCTCTTTCTGTCTCACTCGACGGGCCGTTGCACGCGCATAAAAATATCAACACAACCAGCTTTCGGTGGCGAAGTTAGAGCGAGAAATAACGGGCCTAAAGCGAGCTCCGAAACGTCGTGCCGCCATCGTCTGCTTAGAAAAAAGGAAAAAAGTAGTTGAGTACTGAGAAAGGGTAATAAAAACTGGAGGCTTCTGATTGGCCCGTGCGCAACAGCGTCCCAAGACAGTGCTCCGAAGTGGGACGGGGGGGTTTCGTAGATGTTTTTTTTTTTTGGGGTGGAGACGGGTTTAGAACACCAGGGCTTGAACTTTGTGGAAGGTCCCGGACCGATTCAGATCGCTCGATGCACTTCCGCCTCTGGGCAGTGTGTCTCCGCCGCTGTTCTGTTTGAGAGGTAGTTTGATAAGTGTCGCCACGATTGGGTAAGCCATTGTTCAAACAATCATTGTTTTATACTCGGTTTTATTTAGGTATTCCTTTCTACTTATCTCATTTGGAGAAACGACGAGAAAGTCGTTCGGTGACAGGAAGGGAATGTGCGGGATACCCCGATGAACAAATTTGTAAGAAACTATTTATATTTAACAGATAGCTTCAAGTACGAGATATCAGCTTCATCGAGCAAGGAGATAAAACATTTATAAACAAGGATGTAAAAAAAAAAGATTTTCTTTTGCAGTCATTGATAATGTAGTTTGCTGTTGAGCAATTCTGATTATATTTATAGTGTTTGGCATCTACTTAAAACAAATTTCACAAGGCCTGCACAAGTGTCCTATGAATGACGTAATTTAGATTTGTTCTGCAGCGAGGGGAAATCTTAAGCCACAATTACACTGCTCATAGAAAAGTCAGTGTTATCTGCAGACATGATGGCAGACATGATGACAGAAACGCGCCCCAGGCATGTTTGAAGCATGTCTTCTTCAGACATATATGTATGTTTCGAATGTGTCAGCAGACAGTTTTTGTATAACCATGTGTGACAGTCATATAAAAGAGACATGACTCAGGCAGTGTCTGCTGAATGTGTTTTGTATGTTGTATTACAAATGTCGACTTCGAATTTAAGCTATCCCTCTGTGATTCACGCCAGGGTAAGGTCCCTGTCGCACTCAGTCATCAGAAGTTCATGCACAGTTTCGACATGCCGTTTTTTTCTTCTTATTTTAACGCCCAGTCCAACCAACGCAAAGGAGGTGCGCTCCGGACCGCAGCAGACCTCGGGCCAAGCTGACGAGGTGCAAGGCAGTGACCAGGATGCGCCTTGAACTATCGCCTTCTCCAGACTGTTACCAGTGCACGGTGTCGACCGGCGGCCCTCTGTGCTCTCAACCGGACCCGCGCTTCGTCCTCAGTCCGTCCGCTTCGTACACTTCCTCGACTTCCATCAGTTCTTCGACCGTGCCACAGTTGGCCAGCCCCGAAGACGGAGACGACTTCGACTGTTTCACCGACTTTCATGAGGAGGAGTTCTTCGGCCCCGTGGCGCCTTCTCCCAAAGAGTTTGGCGACAAACCGGGACCGTTCTGTGACGAGCTAAGCTCGCTAGGCCTATTCTTCCAGCAACCCATTCTCCCCGAAGACAGCTGTGCTGTTGTGAACTCTTTATCTGAGACCGCCGGGGAAGGGTGTCATAACCCTTGTCGTTTTGGTGAGGAACGTTCTGTTAAAGAAGAGTGCCAGGAGTGTAGTCCCATTGAAGAGGAGTCTCCAATCGCCGCACTTCTTGAGGCAGACGAACAACTCAAGATGGCGCCCGATGTGGGATCCAGCTGCTCTGACCTATCGGCCATGACCAGCTCCTCTCCGACTTTGTCGACGTTCACGAGTAACCGAAGCTCGGCTCGTTCTTCGTTCACGAGCCGCCGTAGCAAAAGGTCTTTGTCGATTTCGCCGACATCGACCGATGGAATGGACTTAAACACAATCATCCGCTGTTCTCCAACGTCCCTAGTGGCTTACCTTAGCGGATCGAGGTGCTCATCCACAGCAGGCGTACCCTCAGCACCCGGAGCGTATGGCCATCTTTCTGCTCGGCCTAACAGTCCTCGGTCAGGTTCATCAGGGTTACGACTCAGTACTCCATACTCTCCGACAGTTCTCAAGTTAGCGACGAGGGACGACTGTTCCGCTTTTGACAACCCGGTCTTGACACTGCAAGCCATCGATGAAGTTGACCAGTTCACAGGAATGCGGGACTACGACTTCCTCGAGCCAGAAGACAACCTAGCTGTGATAAAGCAGCAGGAAGACCGCGATATAGTGGTTGGTACCAATTTCGACTTTGGAGGTGAGAACGTGGTCGACTCGACGCAACAACCCTTACCAGGCGTGACTTCGATTCTCGAACTCCAGAAGCCACCACCTCCGTCTTACGACCAGCACATGGCCCGGAAGCTGGCCTTCCAGAAAATGTACTCTTCGGACAGCAGTCAGCCCTCCAATTACTCGAGCTTCGAGAGCACAGGTTCAGCGGACACGGCCTCCGAGTTGGCCGAAGTGGACTCGACGACGTCGGAGCCTGTGCCGAGGTCTTACGACTGTCAGTGGATTGACTGCCGCGGTCTGTTTCAAGACCAAGAAAGCCTGGTGCGGCACATCGAGGCTTGCCACATCGACCAAAGAGTGAGGGACGAGTACACCTGCTTTTGGCAGGGGTGTCCGCGGAGACACCGACCCTTCAACGCACGCTACAAGTTGCTCATTCACATGCGAGTTCATTCGGGAGAGAAACCCAACAGGTGCACGGTAAGTTTCCTCGTGTATTCTAGTCTCATCGAAGAGGATGGCAGGGCTGCAGCACGTCTGCGAGACCGGTCCCTTTCTATAGCACAAAATCCTGATGTTCTCAATCGTGCAATTGATATTTGGAGTTGAACGTATGTTGACATGTCATGGTTGTGGGATGCGGATTTACTTTATTACATAAAGACCTGACTGAAGTCTAGGAAAAAATGTGGTAGGCGATCAAAAAAAGGTCAGGAAAATCGTTAACGCTGTCTTGGACACCACTTTAACATTGCCCCCCCCCCCCCCCTCCCTCCCTCTTATTACCACTGTGGAAATGGGCCTAGATGTAAAGTTACGCACATCTAGACCGGATGCACTGAAAGGCATCGAGACTAAGGTTTAAGGTCCTATTATTGATGGGCAAAGGGCCCTAAGACTTTGCTTAAACTCGTACATAGCTTATCACACTTTAGCTGATGCTGCCAATGATACTAATAGATAATGTTTTTTTTTTTTAACTTACGCTCTTCTTCGTGGTCGAATAAATGAGATCAAAGTTCTACTTTCAAAGCAATCATACGTATACAGAGACAGAGGTTTCGGAAATTGCATAGTCTGACGAAGTGCATGCGCCCGAAATGTCGCTTGTTTCCTTTCTGCTTATTTTTGCCCTATCTTTCACGCTTTTAGTTTCGCGCATATTTCTTTACAGGGTTGGGGGGAGCGGGGGCCTTTCGCGATAAAAAAACTGCCATTTCACCACATATATAAACTTATAAAGACACCAAAAATTTCCAAGACATAAAATACCACGAAAAATTCCACATCACATAAAGTTCTCAAACAACAACCACTTGCGTACAAAAAAAGAAAAAAAAAAAAGATAAAGAAGTGATGACTGGGAGGATGGTTACTTTTTAACTTTTGCATTTCGGCGTCACCCAGAGCAGTGACACCCACGACGCGGCATCGTGACCCCGCAAACAATCACAAACAAAACGGCACGAAGGATCGTATTACCGATAGGGAGAAAAGCTTCTTCAGTCGAGGCTCCGCGCGCCACCCGACCACAGGCCTCGTTAGAGTTCCGCGCACTGTGGGAAAGTCAGATAGGCCTAAAATAAGCGCGGCTAGGATATGAAATAAAAAAAAAAAGCGACGAATGAGATACGACCACTAAATCTGCATAGCGCAGTGACTGGCGCTTTTTTTTACGTGCGTGGGAATTTGGTGTTTACAGTTCCAGTGACTGTATATGCACGCACGTGTTGAAGTTGCCTCCTGTGGTCTTTTGATGTTGCTGCTATCGTTTTTTTTGGTCATCAACGTCGCCTTAGTTTCGAACATCGCAAACCACAAAAAGGGCCCTAGCCATATCTATAATTTGGAGAACAGCGCGGACATATGGGATTAGAATAGAGCAGGTCACGTTTGACGAAACTATACAGATTACACCGGACTGACTATTGCTTGGACTCATGAACAATTCTTATCTGTGCCACGTAAATACCCACGAGCGAAACTAGTTTCACGTTGACTTGGGATTGTTACTATCTCATGGCGTTCATTAGTAATCAAGTAAAAAAACACAGCTCAAGAAAAAAAGAAAGCAAAAAATCAAGGTAACCAAAGAGGCAAATCCAAGCCGTAGCTTGACACCTGCGTGAGTGAAGCTGAGTGACTCTAAGCTAGCGTAAACCTTGTTTAGCAGGTCGGTGCTTGTTGCCATATTCGCCAAGTCTTGTTTTGACTGCATATTTCTAAAATGGTTCTTGGCGCCTCTATAAATTATACCACCTTAGTATTACCTGACTTCTGCTTTTATGCCTTTTGAAAACTTTCTTGGAGAAAACTTTGTTGGCGAGCTTCCTCTGTGATAATGTTTTTTTTGAACTCGTTACAGTTCGAGGGTTGTGCTAAGGCATTTTCTCGCCTTGAAAACCTCAAGATCCATCTCCGGTCCCACACCGGTGAGAGACCCTACTCGTGTCAGTATCCTGGATGCCCGAAAGCGTTCAGCAATTCCTCGGACCGGGCAAAGCACCAACGGACGCACCAGGACACTGTGAGCTATAGAATAAGTTTTCTATTTTAGTTTGTGCTAAAAGTGTTAAAACCGCAAAACGTAGATGATGACCTTAGTGCGTTTAGGTATAGCTATGGTATAATAGCGACGGAGTATTAAGAAGGCGCCCTCTTCAGGGTCTTGCAAATGAGGTCACTGCCAGAATCTGCCTCAATGTTCGTGATCTCCATCTCTAATGACCAGCTGAAAAATACAAGTTCAATTGTCTGTGTGTGAAGGCTGTGGTTCCAGTTCTCAGCAACAGTGTAGAAAATGGGTGTTTCGACACCTCTCTTCTTTCCATCGATGACATCACATTAAATCTTATTAAAACAATATAGTGAGTTTTTGTCGAATCGTAGAAGGCCGACCACGGCGCTTTAAGTCACGCACGTCTCCTCTAGGGTGCTTTCATATGGCGCCAATCCGGTGTCAACTTTTTTTTTTCAGTTGCTACGTTATCTATGATAGCGTAATTTTAGCAGTGCTGTTACTTGCGCGAGCGCGAGCGAATGACACGTAAGGCGACGCTACACAGTTTGCGCCACAGTGCGAGACCGCAGCAGTGTGGAAAATAAGCTTGCCTCGAAAACGCAGCACAGAAATGCTGACGCCGAATATGAGCTTTTTCTGCGCTACAAATTTGATTCTGCCAAATGAATCTATGAAATATTCGTCTTCGGTACGTGCCATGGACCCTGTAACGACAAAATGGTGGACTGGGTTATGTCACTGGAAACACTTAATGATAATATATTTTTTTTTCTAGAAACCTTACGCCTGCCAAGTTCCTGGTTGTTGCAAGAGGTACACGGATCCCAGCTCGTTGCGAAAGCACTACAAGAATCACGCTGCCAAAGACGACACGGCGAGAAAGAAGGTAATAACGCTTAACAACCCAAGTGAAAGCAGAATGAGCATTGTTACACACTAATTTTCGAAGCGGACGTTTAAATTTGTATCCAAGTCTGATGTCAGTCACCTACGTGCAAAACATGGATGATGGTGGCTTAGCTCCGCTCAGCCTAGCTCGCATCTTTCTGCCGGCGATCTACTACATGACTGGTACGCTACGCCTTCGCATTGTGCTGGTCGTCATTTCGACTTGTTCTTGCTGAAGCTACGCGCTCAGCAGCAGTGCCACCATGATCACCACTTAAGTGACGTCAAGGCAGGCCATGTATATGACACGACTTCCTCTGGCGGATGAACGGCCAAGTGGAGAGCTGCTATCTGAAGTTTACTGCAGTTAACATGCGGTTATCAAGGCAGCGAAGTAAAGAAGAACACGTGGAAGCTTGCTGACGTAGCGCTGGGTAACTTCCCTAGGCCCCACCAGGGCAAGAGCTGAAAAAGAAACCTCATGCTTTTCACTCGGCAATTTGAGGAATGTATGTGGGATAGGAGTGTAAAGTATCCTGCTCCTAAGTAAGCAATACGACCTCTTAAAAAATAACAAAGAAAAAAAAGTTAAGTTATTCCATTTTGGTGAAGAAGAAGGACCAGCGAAGCTGTACTATGGTGGGAATGAAGTAATGGCCAGCTGCAAATCGGCAAGCCAAAGTGGAAAGGCCGCAAAAGTTGCCGGCCATCTATGAGCGACGACGGAAACCAGACAACCGGCAAGCCATCTGTCTGGTTTCCGCCGTCGCTCATAGATGGCGGTAGCTGTCCGGAGTGTTGTGTTGATATTTACTTGCTGGCGGACACGATCCTGGGAAAACTAGCCCTTAACAGCTCCGCTGTATAAGACCCTTGTTTTGAGCATGGTGCAGAAGAGACAGTGATGGTCTCAGAAGCTCACTCTTTCAAACTGAGTGAGAGAGAATTGTAATCCAGAGGCGAATGATCATGTTCTTCCGCGGCTAAAGCCGAGACGCTCTCATAATGTGTAACGTACAGAACATGTGCTGCCAAATATAGACCCCTTAAAAATCTTCATTTCAGATTCGAAGTGAGAACGACGTGGAGCTAGTGTCAGGACCCGGGGACTGCTTGGAGGTGCAGCCCGCGTACGCAGCGAGAGACAGACCCAAGCTGGAACATGCCGACAGCGGGATCGGGCGGTCTCCGGGGGCGAGCTCCGTCAACGACTGTTGCTATCAAGGTATAGAAGTATTTTCTGCCCGTGTTTTATGACAAAGTTTGTGTAAACGCATTGTATTGGATGTCGCAGTTTGCAGCTGAGCCAAGAATTCAGCTATGGCAACCACTAGCGTGTTGTATGAAACTGGTTTGCACGCGATTGGTTCGCTTTCGGTCGGTCCTATGACATCATGTGATTCCAGAGAAACAATGATAAAGGTCGTGCATTAGTAGTATATATTTCAATGATCGTGGTCACAGGAATAGGCTACAGTTTGGCTCCCTAAAAAGCATGGTGTCGCTCCCGGCTTGCGCTTATAGTTGGCGGGCGACAGCTATGAATAGTCATGAAAGTTTCACGATCGTACTTGGAATAAAGATAATTATCTTTTTAAAGGAAAATGTCGCGAACCTTATATATATATATATATATATATATATATATATATATATATATATATATATATATCCTACTTTTCCAATGGTAACGGATCACTAGTTTATGCTGTAACGGGCAGTGCTGTGCACACTAAGATATTATACTTAAGGGCGCATCGTTAGGTTAGGTGAAACTGCGTATACGGTTCTAAGATTAATGACAAATCTAGTATTAGTGACCACGTTCCTAAAAGCTTTTAGAAAAATCTGTTTCTTGAGTACAACGTTGTTAACTATAAAAACGTATAAAACAACAACAACAAAAAGAAAACACATAAACATTTTTATATTTGTTTGTTTGTCCTAGGTGCTTGTCCTAAGCCGCTGCAGCTAAGCTTGAGTGACAACGACCTTGCGTGCCGCTCCTCCCCCCACACCCGGTTCGCTCCCAGTCCTGGACTTGCAGAGGACAAGTGAGTAATTCAGACGAACATAAAAACAAACTTACTCATTTTTGGTGCGAGCACGCGAATTTGGGTGTACTAGGGTTAGGGTGCGTGAAGGTGTTTTGAGCGGCAGCATTGGTTATGTGCTAACGGCGCCTCCTGCGATCGTCATAAAGGTAACAAAAGCCGTGACGCTCAAAGACACAATTTCTTCTTCTCGTAAAACGTGAGCCATCATTACGGTGCTCCCCGACTTCTTGTGAAAAAGTTCTGCTACATCTGCGTTTTTTTTTATAGCTGACACACTCTAGCATGACAAACACCGACGTTTTTTCTCCGACATAACACAATACACTTTTTTGTAGATCCTAGCAGCGTTCTCCACATTATGACGAACGTGCCCTTTCATGGAGAGTGGGTAAAGCTAATGTAAAAAGAACAAGAACAAAAAAAAAAAAGCAAAACATTTTTGGTTTTATTCTACAAAGCCATGGTACGTAAAATACTTGGAATGAGCCTGCTGGTAGGGATAAAATATAAATAAGGGAAGAACATACAAGACGAGGTCGTCTTGTCCGTCCCCGTCTTTTATGTTCTTCTTTTATTTATATTTTACGTAAAATAAGTTTGCCGGCAACTGTTTGTTAGTCTGGGTGACGTGATGACGTGATTAAGGCCACTGTTAGTCAGGTGATCACGAGAACGCCGTGAAGTGAGGTAACGCGTTCTCATGTGACACCGCAACGTGTCTCCGTGACGTCACGGAGGTGCGCTCCTCCCTTGACGTCAACGTCTTTTACATCAGAGCTTTTAAGGGCTTGTATCCGCAAGATCGTGTCCTCCGTAAGGAAATGAAGACAGCGAACTCTGGACACCTACCGCCATCTATGAGCGAGGGCCCCAAGCCAGGTATCTGGTTACCGCCGTCGCTCATAGATGGCGGCAGCCTTTCTATTCCGGCTTGCCGACTTGCGGCCTGCCATTACTTTCCATTGTACAGCTCCGCTGGTCTTCTTTCTTCACCATAGTGGAAAGGCTAAAAGTTGTTCATTTATTTATTTATTTAGAACACCTTTAGGGCCTTAAGGCATTAGAGAGGGGAGCGGGTGTTATGTGCAATGATGGCAACTGCGTCTCAATATTTGACGGGGTCCTGGATAATGACGAAGTGTTCGGTTAGGTCTTTCCAAATCCACAGTTGAATTAGGAAGAGTGGCATCCTGGTACGCTGTGGAAGAACACTGCGCCCGGTATATTTTATTACAATGATCTAGTCTGGAAGAAAGAAAATCCGGACATCAAAGAAGAAACTGATTTAAAGATGGCGAATAAAAAAAAATTATCCAGAAGGTATAGACGGGAGATTTTTCGACGGGAAAAAAGCGATGGGAGATAAAGATTCAATTATATTTGGGAAATACTAGAAAAAACTTGAGTAATCTGACCTAATAAAACATGCAGCACGGTTTTAAACATACTCAATGTAGTATGTTAATGTTGCTTGAGGGGGGTGCCAGATTGATGATGCGTATTCTAATTTAGACCGGCCTAGGGAAAGATAGAGGAACCGCTTTAGGTGAGGAGAGGCGGATTGGAAATTGTGGCGAAGGAAACCCAAGCTTTTGTTAGCGGAACTTCAAAAAGGAGTTAATGTGATTTTCCCAGGAGAGATTTGGAGTGACAAGGATACCGTGATACTTATATACAACAGTAGGTTGAAGCGGTATACCATTCAGAGTAAATACAGGGGAAGTTTGTAAAGAGGAACGAGATAAGTGCATGCATTGACATTTGCTGACGTTAAACGTCATCTGCCAGTTAGTAAACCAGTTATAAAGTGCGTGGAGGCCATTTTGTAGCGTTAAAAAATCATGGCGGGGTGTTATTTTCCGGTAAAGTACACAGCCGTCCGCAAATAAGCACGTGGATGAGGATATTTGAAAAGGAAGATTGTTAATGTATATGAAGAAAAGTAATGGACCAAGAACCGTTCCCTGGGGCACACGAGATATTCCGGGCGCCGAAGAGGATGAATAATCGATAACATAGACAAACTGGTGACGTTGGGAGAACAAATATTCGATCCAGGAGAGTATATTAATATCAGTGTTTAACTACGAGAGTTTTAGGAGCAGCCAGTTATGTGGAACTTTGTCGAAAGCTTTAGCAATGTCGAGAAATAGAGCGTCAGTGGGGAAGCCAGAATCGAGGTTAGCGAACAGATCATTTGTTAGGCAGAGAAGCTGGGTTTCATAAGAGTAGTTTCTTCCGAAGCCGTGCTGCGCTTTGTTAAAATGATTGAATCGAGGTGGATAGATAATTGCTCGTGAATACGTGCTCGAGTAGTTTAGAAGGTGCAGAAGTTAGAAATATTGGCCTATAGCTTAAGGCAGATGATTCATCACCGTTTTTGTCCACCGGAATGACCTTGCCGATTCTTAATCCTCAGGTACTGTTACGTATCTAATGATTGCTGGAAAAGGTTTGTTAGAAATAGGCTTGAGGAATATTTTGTGCTCTGTAATACTTTAGAGTTGATATTGTCGACACCGCAGGACAAGGATATTTTCAGTGACGTAACAATGTTAACAACACCATCAAAATCAACACAAATTGGGTCTATGAAAGGAGCGGTGCTATAGTCCGTTGCAACTCAAGAAGGTAGGGCGAGGGTAAGACGGGCCGGGGAGCAGGGAGCAGACGGAACGCTGGAGAAGAGAGGCGGAACCATACACCCTGGGCGGAACCTCCTTCTCTCTTTAGTGTTCCGTCCACTTTCTCCTCCCCGGCCCGTCGTACCCTCGCTTTTCTTTCTTAGGTTTCAACGGACTGTAGTTACAAGTAATGTTTGGACAGAAAATATATTATTTAAAACTTTGGCACGCTGAATATTCTCGATGATATTCTCGGAACCATCAGTAAGTGCTGGTGGGGAGAACAGTACGTGAGTAACAACGTTCTAGGTGGAATTGGCGCGGGTTGTGTCTTTTTGGACTTTCGGAAGGCCTTTGACTCTGTATCTCATACTTTGTTATTACAAAAGATGGCAGCTGTAAACATTTCGGATTCACTTTTAACCTGGCTTGTGGCTTATCTTGTTGGAAGGAAGCAACGCGTAGTTCTAGATGGTGTGAGCTCGACAAATGTTAGTGTTTTATCAGGTGTTCCGCAAGGATCGGTGTTGGGCCCCCTTCTTTTTTTAGTGTTCATAAATAATCTAGCTGGTCATCTTTCTAGCCGCGTCCGACTGTATGCTGATGACTGTTGTATATACCGTGATATCACGTGTGAGGATGACTCCCAGATACTGCAAGACGATCTCGATTCTGTGATGTCATGGTGTCAAACATGGAATATGGCATTGAATTTAAACAAACCTAACGTAGTCAGATTTTCTAACAAAAGACAAACTCTGGCCACAGAATATTTCCTTGGTGTCACACGTTTAACGGCTGTACCTGAATATAAGTATCTGGGAGTTGTATTTTCTAGTAACTTGTCGTGGAATGCTCATGTTGATTATTTGTCATCTAAGGCCAGCCGCACATTAAACTTTCTGAGACGCAATTTTAGTCAGGCACCTACTAACCTTAAAGAAACATTGTACATATCGAATGTGCGTCCCATTTTGGAATATGCATGTGCCCCATGGGAATTTGCATACCCGTCACACCATTGAACAACTCGAACGTTTTCAGAAACGGGCAGCTCGGTTTGTCTCTGGCAATTATGATTTCTCTGTAAGATCATCTGAAATACGCCGCAACCTGGGATGGCCTCTGTTGGAAGACAGACGAAGGTACCTTAGGCTCACTTTATCTTCAACATACTAAACGGTAGGACCGACATCGAGAAAGAACGTTTTATTAAGGAGCCCAGTTATGTGTCGCCGCGTACAAAACACCACTTAAAAGTACGTGAATATAGATGCAGAATTAACGTTTTTAAGCACTCGTTTTTTCCACGAACAATACACGAATGGAACAATTTACCAACTGAGGTCATCTCTGCGGCCCCTTCCTCTTTTCCTATTGCCCTAAAAACTTGCTGTTGGAATAATTTTTCACTTTGCACTTCTAATAGTGCCAGTCACTATACTTTGTTTTCATATATTGTACAAAGTGTTGTATGTTGTATTTTTCTCCTAAGATGTCATATCCACTATTTCTGCATCACAATAGTTCTTGTGTATCTCTATATTTATCGTTTGCCATTGTTTTGTATTGCCTTACCCCCCCTACAATAATGCCTAGATTTGGGCGATGTAGGTATTCGAATAAATAAATAAATAAATAAAATAAAGATGCAAGGGTTTCTTGGAAGAAAGTAGGTTTCTGCTGCTCTGGCAGAGTTTTATATTCAGTGGCACATTCATTATATTTAGACCAAGCTAAAGCTGTGCTCTGTTCTTTGGCTACTCGAAAACGTCGTTTTTCTTATTGTTAAAGCTTTTCAATCAGCGTGAATACCAAGGCTTAGTAAACCGAGAACTGACGGTAATAATTGGAACACAAGCTTTAATGAGTTGCGATAATTTGTTTAAAAAAAGGCATACATTTTAATTTACATTTCTATTATTAAAACCCTCCATAAAAACTGAAAAGGTGTTCAAAAAGTCTCGGTTTAACTGTTCATAGTTTATTGTATTATATAGTCTTATTTGCTTGGACAGCAACGCGGGCTTTGGTGCTTTAAATCCTAAGGTAAAGTGCACTGCTCTGTGTTCGCTGATGCCTTCAAAATTGGAAAGGGAGGTAATAGATTTCGGATGGTTGGTCAAAAGCAAGTCTAATATATTTGAACACGTGCTGGTTACTCGGGTGGGGAAATAAATCATGTGCGAAAGGTTGAAACCAAGGAAAAATCGCGACACACACACCAAAACTTTCACCACCAGCAAGATTTCATAAATTCCAATTCATACCAAGGAGGCTGAAATCACCTAATAAAGAAACAAAACGATCCGAATGTTGGGTGTGCGAAATTGACAACTCATTCTATAAGAAAGCTATAAGGCTAGATAATGCCTTATAACACACGTCAACAAGGATAGTTTTAAAACCACATTTCACCGACACCCAATGGCCTCAATAGATGTAGAAACGAACAGAAGTGTACTTTGAATATTTGTATCTAGGCATATTAAAACGCCGCCACCAGGACGATCCTTTCGATCGCGCCGATAAAACGTGAAGTTTGAATGATTTGGCAGTATTTTGCTCTAGTCTATGTCAGGGTAAAGCCAGGTCTCGATGATCAGTACTATTTTAATGTCGCAGGTGGAAACAAGGGAAAACAATTCTTCACGCTTTGGCATTAAACTGCTCTAATTTATGTATAAAACACTGATATGAGAGCTAGAGGAAACGACGCCCGTGTTCCCACCCCCTTTGCTGGCCTACTCGGAAGCATCAACCACAAGATCCGAAACCGGGTTGTAAATGAAGACATTTGAACTCATACGCAGTCAGTCAAAACGCAACTAAGATTTGGAATATGCAAGAAGCTTCCGACGCGAGACGCGAACTTTCTCTGAGAAATCTTCGCACGTGGAAAAAGAAAGGCGGCGCAGTTTCGGTCCTCACATGAGCCGCTGATGTTTGGTTTTGTACGAAGAAACGCTCGCTATAATAGGCATATTATTTTCCTCAAAATGGATTCTCAATTTGTGTGCCCGTTCAATTTGGTATTTGTCAAGTGTGACATCAACTTTGTCACTGACAAAATTCAACATCTTTTGTTCGCATAAATCCTAACACTCCCCGGCAGCAACGGGGATACCGTGGAATATAAAAGTACACCGTCGCCGATCGGTTTTCAATATAACAAAGTCGAGATATCATACTTTCGGTTGCAGATGATTGCACAGTGATAGAATGTTTTAGATCATAAATGTATGCCTTGGCCTGTGATACAGAAAAGATTTCTTTTTCGAAAAAAAGCAAGTTCGGCATTGAGAGGCGTTACTGAGCTCTCGAGTTCAGCCTGATTGCTAAGTATCGTCTCAATATCGACTTTTAATGCAGCATCGCTCGTCGCAAGGTCAGTTACATTAGTATCGAGTTTCCGCATTAGTTAATGCATACTATTAAGTTGTCGAACTTGTTCTTCTAATTCAGCGTTAATAGGGTCGGGATTTGTTTTTGACTTGGACGTTACGCCGAACTGATACATATGTCTGCACCAACTGTTTGTGTGACGCTTCGTGGTAACGAAAGTGCCTAGCCATCGTTTACAAAACATTCTACATGAAAAAAAAAGTCACTATAGCATGTTACCAGTTCAGAAAAGCTGAACAAGCCCCTCCCACAAAGCCTTCCCCTCTTACCGCTTTAGCGGAGGGAATGCTGAGAGCATGCGGGTGGAAAGAAGGAGAGAACCAATCATTGCGAGCAGAGGCTTTATGGGAGGCGCCTGTCCTCTTCTTAACCTGCAACAGACTATAGGAAGGTGTATTTCTAATGGCCTGCGAGCATTGTTGGCAGTTTGTTACGAAACATTTCGAACTATATCTAGGCATTTTCTTCGTTTAAGTATAGATGGCGCCCGAATGTCGGTTGCAGGCTGCATCCTCAAAGGTACCCGATCCCTCCACTTCGGTCCAACTCGTTCACGGAGCCCGGCATGGCCAGGAGTCCCACGAGAAGCGTCGTCCTCGAGGTGCCCCGCTCTGAGCTGTGCGCCATGTCGTTCGGAGGATTTCATTCATGTTCCAGTAAGTCTTCTTTTTTACTTCCTCTTCTAGTTAGGTGTGTCCTGTTGCTCGACTATTTGCAACTGCGGAGATGGCAAGTCCACCCCGCGGTCAAGACGTAACTTTGAGAAACGAGGAGCTCACGCCTGTTCGAAATAAACAGCGGAATCTGCCGTGGTCTGGCGGCGATAATATGAGCCGCGGAACGGAGATTAAATGCGTACCGTTGAAGTCGCGAATACTCGAAGTCACACCGCACTCGCAGAAATTGTTGATATTCGCCAGAGTTTGTTTTTAAGACGTTCATAACGTCTAGCTAGAAAAACAAAACAAAACAAAGCAAAACTAAGATAAATATTTTTTACTATTGGGTCAAGTTTGATCTTTAGTTCAATTTTAATTACCATCTGAATTACTTTAGGCTTAAAAGTTTGGGGTAGGTATAATAGGTCAGAGAATAGCACTTTAAATCTTCGTGAGCCATTTCAATTAAAACGGCGGAACATCATGCATTTTGGTGATTAGATATTTTTTTAGCCGCGTGCTCCAAGGTTGTCCTTTGATGCAGAGCTATTACTGCGTGGATAAATCAAAAACAAGTTGTGAGACAAAATTCTTCCAAAGCACAAGCCAACCTAAGCCCAATTTTTCTGCCGAGAAATGGTTGCGCGGAAAATACCCGCCGAAGACAAGACGAGAAGAACAATCCAAATAGTGGAACCCAATAATAAAGAAGAGAACAGGTCACGTGACACCTTACTTGACCTTGCAGACAATAATACCAGACGGCCAAAAATGACAGCTCATCAAAGCATAAACAAGCATATGTGATGAGTTTGTTAAGATGGAGTTCATGATTCATATTAGCCGCTGCAGAGCAAAAAAACGGGAACAAAAAAAAAAATAGCAAACACGGAGAAGGGCAAAGAAAAGAAAAAAACCCGCTGACTTCCTTTTGATGCCTTTTTCTTCCTACGCATTTTCAAAAATTAATACCAAGAAAAAAAAAAGCCCGTGAAATCTAGGCACTTTACGTTGATACACACTCACCCCTATCCTTTCTGCGTGTCTTCTACTTTTTGTCCACATATTTTTGGGGTATTGGTGCAAATAATTGAAAATCTAGATTAATAAATATACCCCCCCCCCCCGCCCCTGTTTCTCTTCTACTTTCGACCTAAGATGTAAGACAAACCGCAGGTCCAAGGGCATATTTCGGATTTTCTATGCTTATTACTTCCAAACCGATAAAAATAGTCTACTTAGCCCCCCCCCCCCCCCCCCCTAAAAAAAAAAAAAAAAAAAAAACACACGCAAGTGTTTACAGTTTTTCTGGGTGTCCACAGCGCCGTCTCCCCATGACCAACGAGACAGCCAAGGTTCGGCCATGCTCGCCGAGGACGACCTCGAGCCCCTGATGACCCTCAACATGTCCGACCTGCACGTCTTGGGACACCTGGGCGACTCGGTCAGCTCCAGAGAAGAGGACTCCGCCGACGAGGGACCCGTTCGGGACCAAGCTTCCAACTACCAACCTCTGCCGCCGTTCGATGCCTTCTACAGTTGCCTCGGGGACCTTCCCCATTTTGGAGGGTGAGTGGAACCACGTGACTCAAACAGCACTACGGCCAGAAGACATACCCAAGCACGGACGCACCGTCTAAAGTTGCGGTCACACTGCTCGTATACATCGCATGGAGACATGATGGCAGACAGAAGTATCTGTGGACACGTCTCGAGCACGCTCGAAGCAGGTTTGCTTCGCAGACGCTTGAAACACGTCTGCTGGCAGTTTTCGTATTACCTGTAGATGGATGGATAGATGCTAATGGCTATACTTTTTGTAACGGGCGGCAGCTTGCGCCACCTAGCCTAACATTTCATCATCCCTTCTTTTTTTTTCGCTCTAATTTGTATAAATTTTGTTATAATAGAAGCTCGCCTTAAGACAGTGTTTGCAGACTGGTTTCTTTTTGTCTGATGTGTTAGCAGATATGGCAGCGGCTTAAAAGCGCGAGGTCGCGGCTTGGTTACCTTTGCCCGTGACAGCGCATGCCCAAAAAGACGTTGAATCGGTCTTATAGACCAACTCAACTCCCCGAGGCCACACCACTGTGGTGGCGCTGCTCTCGGTACTGGGCATGCGCAGCTGCTTCGCCTCGCGCGAATCTAGTTTCTGCGCCCGCGCAGAGCCCACACATTGTGTGGGCAAACTCGGTCTGGTTGATAAACAGTGTGTTGGTCGATAGATCAACTCAACCCTCCGACGCCAGGCCACTGTGTTGGCGCCGCCCATGCGCAGATGTTTTGCCTCGGGCGGTCTCTGCGCATGCTCAGTGCCCATACCCGGTGTTGGTCGCGGACATTACTAGTTACGAGCTACGTCTACTTAGTTACTTTTAACGGTATCCAGTAACGTATATAGTTACTTTTCTTTAGAGAAAGAACGAGTACCGTACTTTTAAGGCCAAGTAACGAGAAACTGTTTTTCGTTACTTTTAAGTTGTAACGTGGACAACACTGTTTAAACAGCCTCGTTTTCATTTTAACCTGAGTATGCCTCTATTGCGACAAAGAAAGAACCCCAAAAATGACTAAACAGTACAGGCACGTAGCCAGGATTTTGTTTCGGGGGGGGGGGGGGGGGGGGGGCACCCATGACAAAATGCTGTATGAGGAAAAGGGGGGAGAGGAGGACCCATGCAAAATGGAAGATTTCGGGGGGGGGGGGGGGGGGGGGGGCCCGGGCCCCATGGGCCTCCCCCCTGGCTACGTGCCTGAAACAGTATGACAGTATAGCAACGTGAGTCGAACTCTAAAGCGTGAGCCGAACTCTAAGGTTCGTTGAGTGATCCTTCTAGAATCGTGTACAGACCGAATGTAAACCTCGAGGTTGCTAACGCGGGAAGGCGCAGAATCCGATGTCAACTTAGAACTTTAGAATCAGAGATAACAAAAGATAGAAGGGAATCCTAGATGCACCTGCTTTTCCTGAAGCACAATAGTGCCGTACCTTCGAGCGCGTCAGTACAACGACTCTTCAGCGTCGCCGGAGATGTATTCTGAATGAAGCGGGGAAATATAAATGATGCAAACTTCAATATGCAGCTACTTCCTAAACGCAGCGACTACTGAAAGGAAAACAATAGACCATGAAACAAAATGAGCTGTGTCGTCAAAGTAACGAGAAAAGTAACTCGCTAATTTCACACTAAAATAAGGTGTTCCTTTTGAGAATCGGTAACGAGGAACTTATTTGGTTAGTTATTAAGCGAGTAATGCCATTTAGTTATTTTTCTGGGCAACGTGTACATGCCTGGTTGGTCAATGCGTAAGGCTCGGAAAGCCACATTTTGCAAACGTAACTATCGCTCTCTGCGCTCGCCTCCCATTAAGCGCCAAATTGGCGGCGCCCACAAGTCAATCGAAGAAAGAAGTGGCGGTACTTTAAGTGCAGTTTATTTAGTTGTTCGAGTCGAAAAACGTCGGCCATCCTGAGTTGTTGAATAGATAGATAAAAGCAGACATCTTATGATCTGACACTACCCCGCGCCATCTAGGGGCTGCAATATAACGTGGCGTGTATTCGACTTGGGTCACAAGTTTATTTATTTTACGAACCTCTTAGGCCTCATTCACACTGGCGGTTGAACCGCGTTCGTCAAGCGGTTGCGAACCCGGTTGCTTAAAGATTCAGTGTAGTTTTACGCGCATTTGGTGATAAAAACGAGCGGATTTGCTCCGCGGTTGCGAATCGAACGAAAATGTGAACGCAGCATAACTCCCCGTCCCCCTACTGCCACAAAAAATTGCTCCAATAATGTTTTCTTGGTTGTCTTCGGTTCACACCCTAAAGTACGAGCCAAAACCTTCTAACTATTGCTTTGGCTTTATTGTATTTCATTCACACCACCACATTCTTACATGCCACCATCCTTCCTTTGTTGCAGGGTGTCTTGATGTCCCACTGTACCTTCTACAACCACAAGAATGTAATTAGAGAAAGCCCGTGGGCCGTGTAAGAAAGTGCTCGACTCTGAAGCCCGAATGACAAAAAATTGGTGCCAAAGATCAAGTCTGGTGACAAGCTTTCTGGGGACAATAGGAGTGGGGAGTCTATAATTTGGTGACACGCTGGTGACGAGTCAAGGACAACATGGAAGTGACTCGCAGGTTCAGCATCGACTGGAACTCGTACTTCCCTGAGTCACGTGTCCCTGTTTGAGTGACTCCAGGGCCTCGTGTCTTCTTGCCTAGGACGAGATAGTTGAAAGAGAGGTCTGCTTTCTGCCACCCGCCGTCGCTCGGAAGCGTTTTGCGAGACGATCGCCGCCCTTATCTTATATCTCCGTTTTCGCGGAAGAAAGCGAAAGAAAACAAGGAACACCGCACGGAGCTGTTCGCTGGGACTGTTTTACGTGACGCGCCCACTCTTTGTAGGTTCGTGCTAATAAACGCCCGAGTTATTCTGCTTCCTGGTTTCGTTTCTTTGTGTCTGGGTTGTTGTACCGCCGTGCCTACATGTACAACCATGAGCGATATGAAGGTGAACAGCCCTCTTCTTGTTTTTGACACTCCTGCAAGGTTTGGAACAAGCTCTGTTCCAGAAGAGTGCCAGAACGCCAAGTTTAGACCCCGAAGCCACGTACTATTTGATATGTTGAAAGTTAATATAGCTTTAGGGAGTCGCAAAACAGGCAAGAAGCCAGGTAAGGTGTTCACCTTCATATTGCCGGCGGGTGTGCAGGGGACAACACTGTTACCACGAACGAACCATCGACTGGGAACAAAGGCAACAGCTAGCCAAAGTCAGCAGTTCGCACCCCTGGCTTTGTCTGCATAGCTACTGCAGTTTTTGATGCGTATCGTCTGCTTTAGGACGCTGATATGAAGGAAACGCATGAAAATAGAAAATATTTTTTTTAGGTACAACCAATCACAAGCTGCAGTACGCTTATTTGGCTTCTGCAAGATCGAGAATCAGGAATCGAGAATCAGTTTTATTTGGTGCCCAGGAACGGACACCCGGCCTTGGTGCGGGCAGGGCACACTCATAAACTATAAAATATAAAAAGAACGCACTAGACCCATTACAACATAATGATTAAAACCAAGTTATAGTAAAACAAAAACTCGAAACACGCATCTAGAAAAGCAGGACGTGCATACTGAAAAGGCGTCAGTGGAACAAACACGACCGGAGAGAAGTGAACACACACTGACAATCAGAACAAAACAAAGAACGTTGACAATGATACAGATGAGTGCGATGTGGCTTCCTGTGTTTTCGGATAAATCCGAAAAACGCCGAAAAAACACCCGCCGGTAAAAATTTGGTCAATTCGTAAACTCCGAACTTTGACGTGCCAATGCCCCCCCCCCCCCCCCTTCACTACAAACCCAAAAAGAACTAAATAGAGACGCCATTTTTTCATTAAATGTGATCAGCGCACAAGGTCAGTGGTCCCGGAAACATGCCACCGCAGTTATCTTTCAAATGTCGGATCATTGGCAAAAGGGGTGTTACCGCTTATCTCGCCAAGGTTCAGGACGACATGCCATTGTACTTTCGGGTCGCGACAAATGCCTCTGTATTGGTTTCCAGTTTGGGCTATACCATTTGATTTTTAAGAAGAAGGAGAGGTTGTGTTTCTGTAACAGTTAAAGCTAGGGACCATAGAGATTACATAAACCTGTAAAAGGGGCAGTTGAAACTTCCCTGTTCCATCATTTACCACTCCACTTCGCGCGGCCGCGAGGTAGCATGGAATAGGATGGGATGAATACGTGCTTCCGAGCGACTACCTCCAGGAGTTTATTACAGCGGAGCTGTAAAAGGCGAGTTTTTCTCCCAAGATCGTGTCCGCCAGCAAACATATATGTCGACACAACACTCTGGACAGCTACTGCATCTATGACCGACGGCGCCAACCAGACAATCAGCTTGCCGGATGTCTGGTTGCCGCCGTCGCTCATAGATGGCGGCAACTTCTCGAGCCTTTCCATTCTGGCTTGCCGATTTGCGGCCTAACCATAGTGCAGCTTCGCTGGTCTCCCTTCTTCACCAAAGTGAAAAGGCTGAAAGTTTTTTTAAGGCATTGACGTTTATCGAAGCCACAAATATGTGCAACTTTAGCCGTGGGACAAATTAGTATTGCCAATGGCAAGGGTACAAACGTGAAATCCATCCGAAGAAATTTAATTGACATAGGCACGTTTTGTTTTTCTTTATCTAGCATACGTTTGCACTCGGATATTATTTAATTATTTTCCATAAGAGACAGTGCAAAATCAAACTCCGATTTTCGGAAATTCTGGAATCAAACAAACATATACTCCTATAAACTCAAAATTTTTTTGGAAAAAAAAAAAAAAAAAAAAAAAAAAAAAAAAACAACCGAAAAACACTTTTTGAATCTGTCGAAAAATGAACTCCGATAACACGAAATCCTACTCATAGGCAATCATAAAGCTCACGGAGGGATTTTTATAAAGCTTTCTTTATATTCCCAAAATATATTCGGATCGCTGGCATGACCATTGTACATCTTCGCCATACGAACCAGAGGATCATGATAGTCGGAAAGGCATGGTACA